GGCCTGTAGGAAGTTATTGTTAAAGATCCTGTTACTATGGGTGAGATATTGTCAATAGTTTCATGAATGGATACCCAAAAAATGTTGAAGCAGTATAGGATGCTCAGAAGAATGGTGGATTCTCTGGATTGTTTTAAGTGGGGACTTTTTTTTTTATTCTTTGAACCAGTACAAGTAAGGGGGAAGGGATATAAACCTAATATTTAAGATAAAAAATGCACCTTTTTTTTTTTATAGAAATTTATAATTAATTGACTCTCTACCTTCTAGGTCAGGGACAAAAGTGGGCACTTAGTAGTGGGACACCCTTCGGATTAATTACATAGAACTCGCGGCCTGCACAAGCCTCAAAGGATGTTATCATTTCCAAGGGTAGAAAATATTAGCTCAATTGAGGTGGAATCTATGCCTTTTGGGGTTAGGCACGGTTGGGTTTCAATTTAACTAAAATTAATATTTAAATTATTTATTTTTTATTTTCTCTATCTTTACTAACCAAACCAAATTGAAAATATTTATGAAATTTTGGTTTGATAATCGAAATAATCATTTTTAATATTTTGTTTATCGGTTTTAGCTAAATTAGTATTGAATGCCTATTTTGAGTTTAATAATGACTATAATTAACTATAATTCAAAATTTTTAAGGGATATAAATATAACAAAATACAAAAAAAATGGATAAATAAGAGTAAAATATGAGTTTTGAAGTTTATTCTTTTACATTTAGATATATTTTAAATTTAAATACTAAATTATAATAAAATTTGTAAAGTAAAACTTGAAAATAGTGAGAGATATTGAACCCGAAACATGAGAGTACAAACAACAAGTTGCCCTTTGGGCAGCAAGTAGTCACTGAACCACGGCACGTGAAATACGATAATTATTATTTATTTATTAATATAAAATTTAATTTTTTAGCTATATATTCAATTTTGGTTTTTTAATCTTCTAAATATTTAGTGATCAAATGTTTTTAGTTATCCAACTAAAAAAATGACCTATAACTATTTATAATGAACCATTTGGTTAATTTTTTATCGATTTTTAGTTACTAATTTAGTTATCCAATCATTTACCTAGCCCTATTTTTAGCTATCCCACTGTACTCAATCTATTTATCCAAAAAAATAAAAAATAAAAAACTGTGATTAATCTTAAACTTGTAGCATGAGATGCCTTGAAATTAATACTATAAAAGCTATTTTATTTATTGTTAATTAATTTTAAGTTAGATATAATTTTATATTT